ACGCTACTCTGTTTTTTGTCAGACTTGAAATAGCCGAAATACCTTCACACTACGGAACTTCTATGGCTCTTCCGTTCGACAATCTCTCCAGCATTGGAACCATCATCTGTTGTCTCTTCGGTAACCTTCGGTCATGCTCGGTTGATTTTTCTCTAGTCGGCACACTCATTTCCTCCATTACCCAGCGGCACGGTGGCTGGCTGCTTCCCAAACAAATACACATGTGCGGCTTGGCACTTGTGCTGTACGTAACAAGTCACGTGACGTGACGCTGCGGCTGTGATTGGTTCGGCTCTGCTACTACTTAATTTGGATTGGCTGTTCTTTTTTTTCTTTTTAAAGAGGACAAGCGCGGCGAGGTCTATCGCAATAGTTTAATTTTTCTATCGAGAAAAAGTTATTTCGCAATACATATCGTTATCGTTCTATCGCCCAGCTCTAACATGCGCGAAGTTTAAAGGGAACATTGCTGTTGGGTGAATAATGCAAAAAACAGAGATCTGAGATGGAAAACTAGCCAAAGTCAGAGGGAATTAATAATGATGTTTATCAAACGAGAAACATAGTTTGATCTTCTTTTGCTGCTGGTTCAGAGAGAGAAAACACCTGCAGCATCAGAGACCTTTGAGCTGTCAGCTTTGAACACCGATGGCGGGTCCGTGTACGTGCCATTCGGTCCGCGCTTTGTGTGGACTCACCATAATATTTTTCCTGTAAGAACAGATGATCACTACATCTCCACAAGGACACACAGGTGAGTTTACCTGATGACGATCCAGCACGCTTCCTGCCACAGGTCAGGAGTGATCTCATCATCATCTTCATCATACTGATTATCTGACAGAGACAGCAGGAATAAATATACGTGAGCAATACACATACGTTGAAGCTTCACCGATCAATCAATGACAGATTGTCGGTTCAGGTTACTTCCTTTTCACAGATAACTGCACATAGAGTTTAATGATCAGTTTAAACAACTGGTGAATTGATCAGATACATCAATAAAAACAGATGACAATCTCACAGGAAAGTTATTGATCGTTCTGTTTTTAATTCACTGGTTCTGATCACGCAAACTGATCAATCAGAAGCAACACATCTGATCTGTTAAGTCAACTTCCTGTTTGTGTGAGTCGAGTGTAATGACATCACTTCCTGTCTGAGTGCAGGCATGCAGCACACAGCCTGAAGCTGGTGATATCAGGAGAACTCTGTTGATATGAACTGTGAGAGGTCCTGAAGACTGAGCCTCAGGGTTCATCAGAGAGCTGATTCCAAACTGCTGACCGCACGATGGTGATGATTTACTGTCAGATCACAAGTGATGGAGGTGACACATGGCTAAATCCAACGTTCAGTGTTTTCCAGCCCACACAGAATCTAATTAACAGCTGCAGTCTGACAGACTTTCATTTGTCACACTACAGATGACACTCCCTGTGAGCTCAAACAACTGTTTCATAAAATCCAAGCTTGGCTTTTGAAACACTTAAGTGATGAGTCTTGGCCCTACTCTCACAGCTTTGAGCTGATTACAATTCTCTCGTCCCCCTCATTCCAATGAATCATAAATGATCAAATCAGCTATTACACTCTGCTTAACACACTATTTACTAAGAGTTAAAGTTTGTGGAACAAATCCTGTTATTGTGGCTCATTTAAATATTCTGCTCTTGAAAGTAATCTCTTACAAATACTTGTGTTGTTAGTCTACTGCAAAAACACTTTGTCCCTGTCTTTGAGTCCTAAACCTGAGCCTCTTCAGTTATTCCAGGAAATTTATAAAGACAGCTGAGTGTTTTGAGCTGCTGCAGACATCCTGTCCTGTCTTTGAAGGGACATTTTCATTATCACAACCTGTAAAACACCTGTGATGAAGGAAGACATTTTGTAGTCCATCTTCTGCACTTTGTAGTTTTAACACCGCAGCCCTTCAGCCTTACGTAATTAAGGAGACTAGTGTGTCTCAGCACACCACACGTCTATTTTTCTCATCATCTCTTTCATTTCATGACCTTTACAGGTTAAAAGGAGGAGAAGACAGGATGAACTGACCTGCTGCCTGTAGCTTTGCCTCCCTGAGAAACTGGGTAATGACCTCTCACCTTTAACTTAAAGATAGATCGGTTAATTATCTTGTGGTCAACATTTACTTCCATTGCTGATCAATCTCTGATCACGGTCCAGCTTTCTTTATGCAGTGTTTATACTGTGTAAATATGGCGGATTGTACACAGTTTTTATACCGCAGAATTTACACATAATATAAGTGTCCGCTTTTATACTGTGGTACTGTTTATATATTGTAGTATTTGTGGGTGTAGTGTCACAGTAACGCTGAGTGTAAACGTCTGCAGCGATAATCAAGTTAAATAAAGGGTCCTCGTGCATTAGCAGCATTTAGCCTGTTAGCTCACACAAAGCCCCGCTGCTTTTAGCTGATGTTAGCACACGAATCAGGTGAGGCTCGTGATCTGCGTGAGGCTGACGCGTACCTGTGTGACAGGTGTTTGTTTGGATGAGTGATACTAGCTTTTGTTCTCTCAGAAATTACTAAAATGGTTAGCTGTAGCACGGGTTAGCTCCTCTGTCACGTCCTGTTAATAAAATTACCAAATAAATGCAAATAAAATTATCCACCATGTGACGTAATGACGTTTTACAGCTGTGCAGCTCACCTTCATCCTGGTCATACATGTTTATCTCCTGAAAACTTAAAACCACAACAACAAAAATAAAAACAACAACCACAAAACGTTGCGATCACCGCGCGCCCCGGAAACGTAGGTCACTTCTGCTTTGTTCTTCTTTGTTAGTAATAGGCAGAGGTGAAACACTACTGCCCCTCACAGGCTGGATGCTACAATTGCACAAATCCTCAGGCTTGCTCTCAAGTCAATGTCGTGTGTGTTTTTATTTGTTTGGTTTTCCAAAAAACGTTCTTTATTTATCTTCAAATATTTTATTGTGAAGCACAAGTAACAACTAGAAAAATTTGCATTTCCTGCGAAAATGCTGTGTGGATGCTTTAAAGCTGAAGCTGTATGCAAAAACTAGCTGAAAAAGCTGAAAAGTTGCAGAAATTGTAAAAACTTTGCAGAAGCAAAGGAACTTTGCTAAAATGTAATAACTTAGCAGAACTGCAATATCTTAGAGGAAACATAATACTTGGCAGAAATACAATAGCATAGCAGAACTTAGCAGAAATATTGTAACTTACCAGAAACATGATAACTTCTCAAAAATACAAGACTTTAGGAGAAATAGTAAGATAACAGAAAGAATATATTTAGCCAAAAATACTTGAACATTACAGAAACACTATGATTTAGAAAAATAGTACAACATAGTAGAAATACTGTGATTTACCAGAGACACTGTGATGAAGTATGAATATTGTAATTTTAAATTAATACTATGTTTTAGCACAAATACTATCATTTGGCAGAAATACTATATTAAGCACAAATCCTATAAAAAGCACAAATAGTATGATTAAGCATAAATACTACATTTAGTAGAAATACTATGTTTTAGCACAAATACTATAAAAAGAAGAAATATTATATTAAGCACAAATCCTATAAAAAGCAGAAATCCTATATTAAGCACAAATCTTATAAAAAGCACAAATACTATATTAAGCAATATAAATATCCCATAAAAATCCTTTAAAAAGCAAAAATACTGTACTATGATTTGGTAGAAAAACTATAATTAATCAGAAATACTATATTTGGCAGAAATACTATATTTAGCACAAATCTTGTAAAATAGCAGAACTAGTAATAACTTAAACAGAAAAATTGGAAAAGCAAAATGGACAGCTGATTTTTGCAGCTGTCCATTTTGTGTAGTGTCAACATACAAACCAATCAATTACATAACTGCCATGTGTCCGCAGTTATTGTGTAGTGTCAACATACAAACCAATCAATTACATAACTGCCATGAGTCCGCACTACGAGAAATTCGTAGTGTGGACTCCCCTCAAACAAATGGCCGTAATTTCCTAACCGTAGAGGCTAGAACGGTCATTCTTAGACCATTTTGTTCAGAAGAGATGGGGGAATCTTCCAGTGTTGACAATTTATCATTAAAATCTGAATTATTAAAGATATTTGACTTGTAATGCACCATAACTGAGTAGGGGCGAAGCAAAAACTGCCTTGACTTGCCCTCAAACAACGCTTTCTAACTCTAAATCTATTTGGAGTATCAATATCATTCTTTCACCGTAAGAGGCAGCAGGCTTTGGTGAACAGTCATGGAAATTTTCAGGTCTCTGTGGAAATCCAACAAAAAGTTATGACAAGAGAAAAAAGTGGTTCATTTCCAGAGTTTGAAATCTGAGCGAAGGACAAATTTCCTACCCTCAAACAAGTCTAACTCATTTCAGAACGGTAATAGGTGAGAAAGAAATTCTTGAATTGTAAGCGTCAGGAGTGTCTGAAGATATACTGGGACAAGCCTCATGTCTTAACTTTGTTTCGTTAAGGAGATATGACGATTCGAATATGCCTCTCATTACAGAAATCAAGCGGTGATTTTGAACAAACTCTCCATTGACTTTCTATGGAGAGTTTTCCGACTTTGTGTTGGTCTGAGGAGATTTGCAAAGATCCTATAAGCCCCACAACAATGATAGTGACATTTCCTGAAAGCCAGCAAAAATACCTACATTTTGATGTATACTTTGTGGAAGTTGAGTGAAAATTGAGCAAGTAGCAAGAAGTTGTTCGGACATGAAGAGAAAACTGCAAAACCTTCAGTGGCACACTGGAAGCCAAGAGTATAGCAACCATAACAACGCATGTATTTTGTGAAAAATCACAATTTGGCAACTCAAAACTTTAAGAGTGTCACGGCGGTGGACGGACTCAGGCGCAGACTGAGGTAGCACAGCTCAACGACACTTTATTAATCACACCGGTGCACTATATACACGTGAAGGGGGGGGAAACACCAGGGTCCCGGGGATCAGTAGGCTGGGGAGACACACTTCTTCGCACTCGCTCTGCTCCTCGTCCAAACAGTCTCCACACAAGCAGCTCAGCTCACTCTCCTACTCACGGGGTCCAGGGGTCACAAAAGGGCTGATCCAGTCAAACCTGTTACACAGACGAGGGTAAGTCGAAGGCAAAACACGGGAACAGTAGAATCGCAAGGAAGCCAGGCAATACTAACGAGAGTTATTCAATATTCCAGCGACGAATAGCTCAGAGCCCCAGCCTTAAGAGCCAGAGAACTGCAATTCGCTCGAGATCAGCTGCAGGTGCGTGGGCCAAGGGCAGGAGCCCAATCAGAGCTCCGCCCAGGCAGACAGGTAGGAGAGACAGAGCGAGAGAAAAACAACAAACACTTGTGGCCACACTGGGCTGGCCGGGGAGGCACAGGGACCATGACAAAGAGGGATAAAAGTAAAACGGTAAAAGCTTTGAAAAAGCTGATTTATACCTGAATAGCCCAATAATTTGAGAACATTTTAAAGTTTGAATGGTTGTTCTACGTGAAAATATGAGGAAGTAGTTAAGTTTCAAAAACAAGCAAATTTTAGCAGAATTGCAGAAGTTTCCCCATTCATTTCAAATTAAAGGAAAAAAGCTTAATATTTTAAAAAGTATAATAGTGAAAAATACCAAAAGATATAGCCATCATTAACAGAAATAGCAGAATAGTTTAAAATTTGAACAGTGAAAATAGCACAAAAATTGTGGAAGTAGATCCACGGCGAAAAGTGTACGGAAACACCAAGAAGGAACTCAATAGTGTGGATGCTTAAAGCATCCACACAATTACAAATTGCCCCATAGGCTGACATTGCTTGCTTTTTATATTTTTATCATCAAGAAAGGGGGAAAACAAACAAAAAACAAAACACACAACCAAGAAAGTGGAAAGTAACAAAAAGGGTAGCCAAAAAACAAGGGGGAATAACACCCCTCCCACACAATTACCTTATCCCAGAGTGCTATCAGCTTATTGTAACCTATGGTGAAGTCCACACAGTAGCTCTCACTTGTTCATAATTTCCAGATGCTCAATAAGTGGCCCCCAAATCTGATCCAAGTCCTCCAGTTTGTCCTTTATAACGAAGCGGTTCCTTTCCAGGTGAAGAGTATCTGTCAGCACGGAAATCCAGGCTTTCAAGGAGGGCACTTCTTTTCCCTTTCATAGCTTAACCTACCCATTCATTCACTTCCGTTTATCCTTTTCAGGGTTGCTGGAGCCTATCCCAGCTGTCTTAGGGCGAAAAGGAGGGTACACCCAGGACAGGTCTCCAGTCGGTTGCAGGGCTGACACATAGACAGGGGACAACCAATCGCACTCACATTCACTCCCACATGTTGTGGGCCTGATCTCTGAGAACATCGAGAAGGCCTGCCTGGAGGAGATTAAGAACCTGGAGAACTGGTGCCAGGAGAACAACCTCCTCCTAAACGTCAGCAAGACTAAGGAGCTGATCATAGACTTCACTACAAAGCAGGCAAGGAATTATGAGCCCCTGATCATCAGTTTCCGGTACCTGTGTATCTACATCACTCTGACATGGTCCTGTGACATCAATAGGGATGGGTATTGTTTAGGTTTTATCCGATACCAGTACCAAACCGGTACATTTGAAACGGTACTGGTGCTTAAACGGTGCTTGAACTGGTGCTTAAAGAATGGAGAACACACACTTTGTCCAAAAACCTCTCATGTTCAGCTGTTTTTTTTG